CATGAATTTGGGCTGGTGAAAAATGGATTCCGGTTTTATCAACTCACGGCTCCATCATCGTAAAATAAAAAGCTGGGACTGGCGACTGGGACCCATCAAACGAGAACCTCGCAGGTATTTTCAGGGATAACAACGTGGTTTTCTTATGACGGATGCTTCCATGTGCTTTACATGTTGCCTTGTCTATATATTATACTACGTTGTTTTTTTCCTTTTTATTTGGCACGAAACGAATCAGCAAGAATAACGTGGGCCGTCGTCTGCTATATCATATCTCATTTGGACATCGCGGGGTTTTGATCAGATTTTTTGCATCTATCGCTTATTATTCTTCCAGCACTTTGCCCTTGGACATATACCTAAAATCTAGGGTTGTTCGGAAAACATGTGGCATGACATGGAATGTTGAAATAATCGTATAGGCTGAATGCAGTCTAATTTTGAGTTGTTTAACTTTACGTGTCTGATTCACTCTAAAGATGGAAGATGACGCGGACTTTCGAAACATGAACGCGATTTTCATTGATATTTATACCATATAACTCCAATCTAGAACTTTGCTACACAATCTAAAGGCAGGAGAAGTGATCATTGATCTCAGTTTATAAACGCATTTCGAAATACAGTACTTGTTTGTTCTTGCTCAAAATTTCTTTTCTTGTCTTCCTGTTTATTCGGTTTGAAGTAGCCGAGTGTTCGCGTCCAATTAGGCGACTCTATTAGTGACCACTTTGGTTTTATTTTCAAAAAAAATATCGATTCTTACCAATATTGTGAATATCGGTAAAAATATTATAGATATTTGAAATATCTGCCAGAATTCCGAACAACAGCGTATAAGCATTTACACTGCAGACAATCCAAAGAAAAGTTTGATGAATTTGGAATGTCGTCTTTTTGAAGCGGCTGTCAATGAATGAATTTTAAAAACCTGAATTTCAGTTGAGTTGCAACAGAAAAAATGCAATTACTGTACATATTTCGAATGCTTGATATGAATATACAGGTATTTGGTTTTGAAAAATAAACAGAAAATATAATGAAATGGGCTTATGACAATCTTTAGTAAGTTGAAAATAATTGTTGTGCTTCAGTTTTCCAGATTTTCCCCCAGTTAAAGCCAAATTTTGGCATTAAACTTCCCGATGAACCCTTGATTTCATCCGCGCTTTTAAAAATTTGGAAACGCTCGTTCAGCGAAATCTCTAACACAGCAACGATACTCATCAAATCCTTGAACATATTGCTATAGATTTTCTCATTCCCAGAATGTGAAAAAAATCAGGAAAAACACTGTCTTATTTCACCTTCTTTCTCAACCAAAATCTCGCTTTCAACACGTGACATCGAATCGTTATCGTCATCTTCATCTTCTAAATACATTTTCCCCGCGACAATCGCGTGAGCTCATCTCCTTTATTTCGCTCATATCATGGAAACCTCAATGGGACCTTCATAGGTATCAGCAAGACTTCTTCTCATAATCACAGGGAATTGAAAAAAAGTGAAATTACAAAATCACGCAATTCGCTGTAGCACATCATCTCATCCTCTTTGAGTCATGTAACTCATTTTACAAATTTTTTGCACTATTTTCAGTTTAATAAAAAATTAAATACCGCAAAGAAAATGTTTCGGGTTTCCCCCGTGTGTAATATTTACTTCTGGCATTAAACTTTGAAGGAACAAATTTTGTCTCAAAAATAATGTAGATCTCTAGAATTAAACCCTTTCATGAATATATCGAATTCATCGGTGGCGTAACTGACGCCAAATTGATCCATTAAACTTCTTAAATTTTTTTTACCGAAGCAAAACATTGGAGTGTATCGTGTCTGATGGATGGACTTTATACCTTGAATTACTTTCTAAAACTCAGCGATTCAATTTTTGCCTCTTTTTCGCATACCCAACGTCGAGAATCCTGATTTGTAAAGCTTAAAGAACTGTATTTTTAAAGCTTGTTTTTATGAACAGCCGCGGAGCCCCTGGAAGCTTATTGAGGAGCCCCTCATCGGCGTTCCGCGGAGCACTGGCTAATAACCTTCACTGCATGGGATGCAATTAACGAGCGACCGCGATAATAAACTGTGACTCGACACGAGGCATGAACCATACGTGAGAAAATCGATGGAACCCAGACAGGTGGGGATTTCATTTTTTGCGGTACCCAAGAATATTCTGCATAATTAAGAGAAAGTGCAGGCAGTTATACGACAAAGCGGTTTCAGCCAAGAAGAGGTACGTGGACCTTCAGTGTATGATGGTATATGCGTGGTTAACTTTGCCACGATAGGTATACAATATATACTATATATAGACAGGCATTTTCATAATGGAAATTTCAAATTTTGATGCAAATGTGCTCATGCAGCATAGCCGGAGTTGAAATCGATCGTGGGATAAATGATGAGCGTGATATACTGGAAAAGGGGGCGGGTATTTTTATATGCAAAAATATGTTACCCCACCTATTTCTTGAAAATTGCCAAGTTCTTAGCCCACGTTACGGGAAAAAGCATCATACGAAACCAACAGCAAAATCAAATGGCAAATTGGTCAACGATCGAGAAGATAATTTTTTCTCGAATAAAAATTTAACTTCACGTTGCACAGCTGAAATAATGGAGTTCAGCTAAACGCACGCCATTTGATGAGTGATTGAAGTTGTTTTTAGTATTTACATTTTTTTGTTTACCATTTTGTGAGAAATTTTTCTTCATCGTCAATTTTTCCTTTTTAAACGCAGCGCCGGATTTTAAATAAGAAATTTAGAGGCAATTGAAAAAATTACGAATTGTTTTTTTTGTGAAAATTTTGGTATAATTGATTTTATTTTGCTTGAAAAAAAATGCGCCATTCCCCCCAAAAAAACAGTCTTAACGCTGGTGTAAGTTTGAATGCCAGAAAGGCACATGAAAAATTTGTATTTGGCCAGAGAAAGAAGAGTATTTTAGGCAGAGGGTGTAGATTATTCCATGGCAATAATTCTCAATTCGGTGAAATTGAGTGTTACCAAACTGAACCACGGACTAATCTTCTGCACAATAAGTTGTTTTGTCACCAAGACAATTTATGTTTTGCTTCCTTTCTTTTACTATGTCTGCTGACAAAACAATTTGTATTCTCGAAGTATTCTTACAATGATCAGAAGACCCCGTCCCGCGTGATGGGACATGATTTTCCCTCATCTGAAGAATTTCCATTTTAAACCAAAACTCCGGGAAAAAATTATTCATAGAAAAAAATGTGTCTAACATATCTCATATAATTGACGACACAAGCCATATGCACAGCCATGTGATGATAAGATAACAATGGAAAAAGCAGCGAGGCTTCATCAAAACACTTCCCTCATTCCTATATACTCGTATGTACGTCCATTGGAGACACAATTTTTGATGAACCACTGCTGTGTTGGGCTGTTGCGTGCTATTGAATTCTGGTCCTCTATTAATTCTCAGCAGGAGGCATACCATCAAGAGAAGTCAAACAAATAGCGGCTCTTTTTTTTCAAGTAATTAACGTACAGTTCGGCAAAATGCGATTCGACGCCAAACAAGTTAAGATTTTGCGGTTACTTGATCATGATGTGGAAACTGCTGCATGCTGGAGACCGCATGATAATGTCGCAAGGGGAAAAACTTATGAACTGAAGCTAAAACATACGCCCACAGTTGAAGCTACTTTCTCATTATCTGAGATTATGCTTTTAATAGCGGCAGGAGATGAATAAAAGCGACATATTCACGTGAGAAAATATTTTCAGGAGAGGAACTTCATGTTTGCGAATATCAAGTATAAATTATGCGGTTGGTGAACTTGCCAATAGCAAAGTTTCTCAATCACCAGAAAGATTTTTTTCACATTATTAGAGTTCCTGTCAACCAATGTTTTCATCTAAACATAGCACGGCGCGTTTTTCATTTTATTTGGAAATTTTGGANTTTTATGCAATTTCCCCCGCCCTTTTTGGCGGGATTTTCTCAACAGAAAAAATGCCCAGGTGCTGGGATTTTGTAGCTTGCACAAACACCAGATGTTGGCAGCTGTCAACAGATTTTAGAATTGCTCTTGCTGTTTTTCGAACCTTTTCAAACATGTTTTCTGCTGGTGACTGGGTGCTATTTTATTAGTTTAGTCAGGGATTTTTTGGCGCCAAGTATTGCCCCCAGAAGATCGGTTTTCTGGGGGAGTTGCGGATTTTGGACAGCTCGAAATTGGGAGACAAATTGCTTTTTCCCAAAAGACCATATGTTCCTGTCAATTTAGTCAGCAGCTGGGTGTGTTTTTGCCCTGCTAAATTACCCTGGTTCAGACAAGAAAATTGTCCTTCATAAAGAGCATGCCGATTTTTACAGTCAGCTCTTTAATGGGACCAACAGCCCTAAAAGAAAGGAAGAGAAAGTTAAAACACCTAAAATGCTGACGGAGTAGAACGAAGTGGGGTCAATCCCCTAAAAGAAGGAGAACAAAAAACCGCGCAGGGTCCTGCTGCCTATTGAGTTTCAAGCTCATGTGTTGCCCCCCTTTTCAGGGCAGCAACATTGCCAACAGAAAAATTCCGCACAAAATCCCCCCGCGGCCTTGAGTGACCCCTTTTCCGGAAGGGGTTACTCAGGTCGACGTTTTTTATTTTTAACGCTTAAAAAGGTTCTTAGAGTCAAGTTCTTACCTCTAACGACACGTTTCTAGGACCCCAACCTTCAGACTACAAAAGAACAACAAGTCCAAACCTGAACTCCAAAAGTAACAAGGCTGATGTCCATTCTGAGGAACTGAAAGTAAAAAGTTTTGTTGTCAGTGTTTGAAAATTCAAAAAGTTTTCCAAAGTCAGTCTCAATTTGGCAATGTTTTGACTGGGGTAGCTAATCCCATTCAAATCATTTTGTGATCAATTTTTCCCAGTACTTTGGGAATTGCACCACGTCTGGCACAACAATATTGTTTTGATTCTCTTAAGTAACCCAATACCTTGGGTTGGAGCCACAGTTGGCACAATGACAAAGTTTGTCACTCAGTTTTCTCAGGAAACCCAGTACTTTGCCAACCTCGGTGTCAACCGTGTTACTGTGTCAAACAGTGAGTCGGAAAAGTTCCTTGGGTCATGAAACCCAACTGTAGTTTCAATCGTATTTCTGTTTCTAAAATTGAGTCAAAAGAGTTCCTTGGGGGTACTTTGGGTTGACACCAAAGTTAGCATAATGACAAAGTTTGTCTCTTAGTTTTCTCAAGGAACCCACTACTTTGGGTTGAGCCATGGCTGGCAAGCCACTGGAGATGAGTTTTTTTTTTTTTCATAGCTCAGTATTTTGGGTCAGACCATGGCTGGCAGGTAACTCAAGGTCTCAGTATTCATTAGTTTTATCTTGCAGGAATTTCAGTTTCAGACTGTTCTTCACACATAATGGTCTGCTAAACTCTATTTTGGATTCCTATCCAGAGGAGAGGGGTTTTTAATGAATTCCCCTCCAATTTAGGATGGAGTGCCAATAATTGTTTGGCTCAGTTGTTGGTACTGTCTCTCATCTTCTTTCTCAGCTCTTCATGATTTGCAAAGTTCACAATTGTCAGGTTTCTCTCTCTTAATTAACTGTCTAAAAGAACCCTTCCTCAAAGTTCCAAAAGTTTTTTCAAGTTTCTTTTCAATAAGTTGGTTCTTTACATACTAAGTCTATTCTAAAACCTCGTGAAACACCTTGGTTTACTCAGAGACACTGTAGTCCCTGAGGATAGGGAAGATAAATCTGACCTCCAACTGTTGGTGGAGGAATCTGACAAGGAAGTTGTAATCATGGGTACATTTGAAGTATAAAAGATTGTTTCAGAGACTTTACCAGAAGTTTTCTTGATGCTCTTTTTTAGATTTGGAGGGCTCAAAGAATGTTATTGAGTCTCAAAAGAGAGCTTCCTCAACATTAAGACAGTCTTCAACTGGTTTTAATATTATGCTGCCAAAATCAACAGAGAGTCTTATGAATGGCTTTTTAGTTTATTGGAAGCAAGTCTTCAACTTTACCTCCTAAAACAGGGGAAAAACCTTTGTCTCTTAATTACGGTCTTAACCGTCCCTATCCGAACTTCGACTTAATCTAAACTTACTTATAACCTACCTAATACGGTTCAAACGACGTTGTCTTGGCAGGAACAAATAAGCTATTGTGGGCCTGCTGAAGTAGTCAAGGATTTTGGAGCATTTTTCAGCAGCATGCAGCAAATGTCCCTGTTTGGACACAGATTCCAGAGGTTGAGATATCTCAGGTTTTGGATGGCCTTAACAAGAGGGCAAAGACCAAGGAGGTTATACAACTTCAAGTTTCTTCTTCTTTTGGTAAAAAAGGCATCAGGCAGTGAGCTTTGGGTCTGATCTGAAGGAGGAACTGTTGGAATGAATGAATCCTTGTAAGCAGTTGTAAAACCCAATATTGGGAAGAAATTGATTTTGGATGAAAATTATTTTTCTTGACAGCAAGTCACAAGCCTTCACCCATTCAGACAGTCGGAAATATTTGATATCCTAGACTAAATTATGTTCTTTTTACGTAAGTTCTCCGACCCACCGTTACAATTGTCAAACCTGGTTAACCGAACGAACCACGACGGATAGGGTCTTACGCAGTATGAGGACTTCAACATGGCAGTCTTCAGAACAGACTCACTGCTGGTACCAGGTTTGGTAATTCAGGAAAGGGTCCTTGTGTTTCTGCTTCTGGGGACTTCACTGACAGTCCCTTGGAGGATTACAGATGGTCAGCATACATTTTGCAAGAATATTTGTCCAGGAAGAGTGACATCAAAGGCAGTCTTTGACTTCAGACACCTCCTTGCTGGTTGCAGGATAGAGGTTTTTCAGGTTGAATAGATCATTTCTGACCAATAGTGTAATCCTTTTGGTTTGACAATACTCTCTTCTTGATTTTCACAGTGCTTTGTCAGTGGCTGATCAGCTTTGTTTGGCCTGGGACAGAAAAGGGTCCCCAAAGGAGGAGAGAGATAGAGTTCACACTGATCTCCATTTAGAAGCTTCCCTTTGCTTTACCCACATTTATTCAAGAGTGGGAACCAGTAACTTAAAGAACGGAACCATACCTGACATAGTTTGTCATTGTCCCAAATTTTGGGCATTTTCTTCAGGTCCTTTACAGGTTCTTATGATGAATTATCAAGAGTTTTGATGCGCCAGTTTTGGCTCTTAGAGCTTCTGCTCCCCCAGCTTTAGGTAAAGGTTGCACAACTTATTTGACCAAGCCAAGGGACCCTAATTTTTTAGGGGTTCCAAATTAGTTCCTGCTTCTTGTTGAGTGGGAAATAATCCAAATTCCCAAAGATAAGATTCAGAAAAGTAATTCCAAATGTTCTTCATCAGCTTCATTTGATATTTGGCCACATTTCCCAATTCATTCTTGGTTCCTTCTGAGAACTAGACAAGAGGGAGTCTGCATGACAAGGGGTAAAAATGTTGGATCACCCTGAGGAGGGTTAATGAACATAGAAAGTGTCACTGGCATAGGATCATCTCTATTGTAGGTCATAGGTCTTGAATTGATCATTCTCTCAAATTTAAACAGCCTTTCAAGAAGGGCATTTGTATTTTTATAAGGCAATCCCTTTAAGGTCCTTCTTGTATGATCCTCAATAAGATGCATCATACTCTCAAAGAATCCTCCCCATTCAGAGGCTCAAGATGCATTCAAATACCATTGAACTCCTCTCAATGTACTTTTGGTGTCTCTGAGCTCTTTTGATTAAAATCTACTTCAAAAGTAGCAGCATTATCTGATATCAGAATGTACAAATGTATATCCCTTCTATTGCAGAAGATTTTAAAGGCTCCCATAAACAAGACTTAGATCCATTACTGGCTCTAGACCAACAGCTCATGTTATAGCATAAGAAAATATGCACATTGAGAATTTTTTACTTTTTTTAGGAGTTGTGAAACATCCAAAACAAAATCTATACTGGTAGCAGCAAGGGGAATTGATCCTTCATATCTTAAGTCTGGCAAGGGAGAACAGGAAGGGAGGAAGGGTTTTGCATCAAACCTTCTACACTAAGTGTATTTCTTTCTAATATCTTTGGCCAAAGTTCTGGCTCCTTTAATCCCAAAGGGGTTTCCAAGGAATGCAAGTGATACATTTGGAGAAGAGTGACCCAAATCTTTCTAACAAGCTTTTAGCAGAGCTTCAACAAAGTTCAGAGGATCCCCCTGCTTTGGTGAGGGTGGATATATTAATGTGGCTCTGGCCAAGTTGCCGTCAGGGGACTCATAAATTTTGTCTCTGACTTGATGGCTTGTGGAAAGGATCAACCCAAGCCTCTCATTCCGCAACAGATCTGGTTTTTTCTAAAAAATTTCTCTGACTTTCAGAGCATGCCACTCTCTTGGGGATTTGAGTCTCTGGATAACTCTAAAGATTTCAATAAGTCCTTCAGAAGAGCTCAAGAGGAGCAAGATTCTTCAAGAAGCTACCCTTTTTATTAAACAGTCTTATGAAAAAGGGGTTTTGTTATCTTCTTGGATTGCTTCATTCCTTTCAATTCTTACTATATTTCTAAAAAATTCTTTGATCATCAACCAGGCTATAATTCTAGTTGTAATTTTGTTCCAATCTCCAGTTGTTCAAGTACATGCCTGCTCAAGCAGCAGGTCTGGCAGCAGGTCTTGGATTCACTTTTCTTTATTTTGAAAAGATTTTCATTGATTTCAATAGTTTCTTTTATTGGCCATTTCAGTGGCATTAGGCAACCATTTGGGTCCCTGCCACCACATAGTCTGGCAAGATCTTTTCCAACTTTGCTCCTCTAGATACAGGATCTTCATGATTAAAAACGCCAGGAGTATGTTTCCATTTGGTAGGCAGAGATCTTTCTAGGACAGTTTCAATTCTAGTTTGAATATAAGGAATGGATCTAATTTTCCCAGATTTAATCCATCTGATGAGAACAACTTCAGAATCAGTCCAGAAGTAGACACAATTATCATTCATATTCATATATTTCAATGTATCCAATGCCAGTTTCACTCCCAAGCAGGCTGCTGACAATTCAAGTCAATTAGCACAGACTTTTTTTTTCTGTTTCTCCTCCACAAGTTTATCTTTGTTTAGAGGGTAAAAATTCAGATTTTTCCCTGATCAGGGATACCTCAACACCATAAACTGGTAAATTACAGCACCAGGAGCAAACCACAGGATCAGTAAAGAAATGTAGTTCTCCTATTAAATTTGAGTCAACAGTTAGACATCTGTCAATGTATATAGAAGCTAGATAAGCAGCAGGCTTTGCTATTGCTTTTCATTTCAGATTTTCACATGGGGAGAGTTTACAATCCCAGACTTCAGGGTGCAGATCATTGAAGGTTTGGAACAAAAGTTTTCCCAAGGTGACAAAAAAGGGGGTTGCCCACTGTATTAAGTCAAAGATTCTTTTTCTTTAAGTTCTTGCAACTCAAGTTCAGTAATAATACCCTCTTGATGTGCCTTCCTGTCAGGGAATGAAATATTTGCATTCATGGCAAAAGGTTCACAACTTTTTCCCCAAGGGAGTCTTGAAAAATCTAAAGAGCTTTGTAAGCCTCTGCAAGAGGTCCTCGCTTTTTTAAGAAGTTAATGACAGATCTGCTTATAATTTCACCTGTTTTTAGACTCTTCCAGCAGTCTTTTTGAAAAGCGCATATTCTTAGGCAGAGGGACTACAACATGTCCCCCAGGATTATGTCCAACCAGACTAAAATCAGTTTCAACAATTTCCAGACTCAGATAAAAGTTTTATTTGTGATGGGACTGCATCCTAGTAGTTACTTTTGGATTTGATCCCAACCAGGACTGGTCAACTTGAACAACCAATGCTTGAGTTTTTAAAGGAACTCCAAACCCAATTCTATGCCTGAGAGGAACAAATTTGTCTGTTTCCAGACATTCCTCCATTTCATTAACTCCTTGAATGATAGTGATAGTTGGATATAAAGGCAGACTGTTTTTTAGAAGTTTGACAAATTCTTTGGTAATTAAAGTAGTTTGTGCTCCAATGTCCAGTAAGGCATAAGCCTTCAGTTCAGTTGGAATAATTCTAAGTTCAGCTGTCTCAAGGAAGGAGTTGGAGAGAGGGGTCTTGGACATGTTCACTCTCACAGTTCTATGTCATTTAGCTTGCAAAGGAGTTTGATAGGTAGTACCCTCAGTGGGTTTCAATTCTATGGCATTCACCTTTTCGGCAAAGTTCATCCAATTTCTTTTAACAGTTTTCATGACTGGGTATCTTAAGAAGGATTTTCAGAATTTTCACTTGATTTGGTAAACTGTCCCCCTGTCAAAGGGCAAATGGACATATGCTGTTTTTCTTTCAAAAGTTAAGCATCTCTTCTTGTTGGGGCATTCTCCAATACTGTTTCTGTCTTGAAAACAATTCTAGCCAAGTTTATTTTTCCTGTTAGTCTTTTTTATCATTGAGAAAAGGAGTCTTACAAAGCAAGGGATTAGCCCCTGGTTGCAAAAGACACATTTCCATTACCTTGGCTCAGAGTGTTTCCCAATTCTGGGTGTATACTTAGGAGTATTTGAATGAATAGGAGTACCAGAGTACTCAGGAGTGCTTTTCCCCCTTTTCAGAATTTATTAGATTTTTTAGGAGGAGTCAAATCCTTTTCAGGAGACTTAGCTCATTTTCTTTTCTGAACTTTCACTCCAGTTTTGTAGGAGGGAATTATTCTTGTGGATATGGGAGCTTCTCTGTCAGCAAGATCAATAAGTTGGAGTCTTAGCCACCAGTATTTTCTTTCAGGCTTTGTTTCCCATTTTTGTTGTTCAAAGTATGGGGCTTTTGCCATTAAGTTGTCAATCATCATGTGAGCTGTTAATCTAGCTTGTATGATTGGTCAGTCTCTTAATTCAACTTATTTAGGATCAGGTTCTATCTTTATCAGTTTCTCAATGAGGTTGGTTGCCTGGTCTGCATATTCAGCAGCCCCAGATAGGGTTTCATCCCTAGGGATTAATTTCTCCAATTATCTGTACAGCCTTTGGGCTGATGATGAAATTTTTCCATATTTGTTAAACAAGTACTCAACCAGACCCAGGTAATCTTCTTTGGTCTGTCTTCCTTGGAACATTGAGGGTATATATTTAGCTTCACCAGTGAGGTGCATTCTCAACAAATGAATTATTTTTCCAGGTGGTATTTGGGAAGAAGGAGCTTCATGGACAACTTTGAATGTCTCCCAGATACCATCAAGATTTTCATCCTGATCAAGGTCTCCATCAAACCTAATGAAGGCTGGAGAATTGCTTTTCTTTTCATATCTGGCAATTAGTTCCTCAGGAGAGGAAATTTCCCTTCCCATAAGTTTTAAGGACCCTGTCTAGGGCAGGATTTGAGGGATCAGGCATTCCTCTTTGATTTTTGAAAAAGATTTCTTTAGATGGAGGGTCTGGAAAGACAGCTCCCTTGATTTCTTTCACAGTTTGTCTTAAGTTTGATTTCCAGCCATATTTCATGTCCTCCCAGGAGGAGATTTTAATAAGGCTGAGCTGATCAGTCAATTTCTTGACTTCCTCATTATCTGAGGCAGACCAGGGATTACCATTAAGATTATTTAAGAAATTGAGAATTTCAAGAAGTTCAGGTTTGAACCTTTTAAGCTGTAGTTCTGATATAAGTAGTAGTCTTTAAAACTACGGGAACAGTTAGAAGTACTAATTCAATGTTTCGAAGTACTCGAGTCAACAACCTAGAACTAAGAGAACAGGTTAATACCTTCTTAGTAAACTTAATCAGTCTTCCTCTGAAAGAGGAGTTGGAGGCCTCCTTGGTGTATTTGGAGGTCTTATTCCAGGTTTCATTTTAGTTTTAGTTGGAACATTTAAAGGAGGAGAACCATCAGTCAACCTCAATTCTTGAGAATCTTGGTTTCCAGGAGGCTCAGTAGAAACCAAATTTGGTTCATTTTCAGGGTTTGGTCCCCCAGCATTTTGAGATGTGGGCTGCCTGGTTACAGGCCTTTCAGTTCTCATTTCAAGTGTAAACAGTTGAAAGTTAGGAAGATTTTCAAATTTTCTTACAAGATTTCAAAGGATATCTTCAGATTTTTTTTTTTTTAGTACTTTTCACACAGGGTTTTCAAAAAATTTTCACAGAAAGACTTCTTGACACAAGACTATAGTTCACAATGCAAAAAGTCAGGCTTTTTAAGATATAAGTGTTCCAGTTTTTTAAGAAAAAAGTTCAAAAGTTCAAGATGTTCCTGAGTCACCTCTGTGTGTTAAACAAAGTCGAGTGTTTTTTCAAAGAAATCTACGAGTTCATAAAATAAGTGTCTCTCCAAAAAATTTCAGAGGCTTTTTTTGGATTTTCTCAGGTGTTTGAATATATATACTGTATTCACAAGTATCAACAAAGAATCAGTTGAATCACAACAGAATAAAGTTTATTGACTCAGCAGTGGAAGACTTTCACAAAAGGTAGGGTTTTTAGAAAAGTTTCAAGGGTTTGAAAGTTAGTTTAAAGTTTCCGCGGATCAAACCACGCTCTGCTACCACTTTTTTGTAAGGTTTTATGTCAAGAATGAGTTTTATCAAGCCTTACACCTTGAAATTGTTGTTTGATTTACAGCAGAGTTTCAGGAGACAAGAATTTTGATTAGAAAAATCAAACACGGCAATTGGCCGGTATGTAAGGTTTTATGTCAAGAATGAATTTTATCAAGCCTTACACCTTGAAATTGTTGTTTGATTTACAGCAGAGTTTCAGGAGACAAGAATTTTGATTAGAAAAATCAAACACGGCAATTGGCCGGGCGCAAACCGACCGGGATTTCTCCCACTAGCGCTGACCTTTCTTTTCCAGTAAAAAATGGTGCAAGGGGAATTGTACACAAGACAAAACAGAGCAAAACATAAAAGGTTTCACACACACACACTCAGTTCCCGGTTCTCACACACACAAGTTCTTTGATACAATAGTTCCAAAAGTGGAGGCAAATAAAGTTCTCAACAATTCTCCACAGGTATTTTGTATACGTTTAAAAACCACACTCCCAAGGTTTCTACCTCTTTTTATTTTCAAGTGTCCTATTTAAAAACATGTGTCAAGAAGAGTTTTAGTGTTCTAAGAAAACTTACGTCTCTAAACGTCGTCAATCTATTTAGATGAGGTGCAACATTGCACTCACAATTTAGTTTTAGTCATCAAAGAGAAGTCTTTAAAGAGGAGAAAGGTGTTCCAGAGTTGGAATTCTCCCTTATTTTGCAGCACTCAGCACAAAATATATACCGAATAAATGCCAAATTCTCGTAAAGTCCGCAAAGTTCTTGAATATTTCAACAAGTCTATAGATTTCCAAATTTTGTACGCAAAAATTGTCTGGTGACTTTCAGGATTTGACTTCAATTATGAGGAATACAGTTGAATTTAAATATTCCAGAAGTGGACCAGAACCACAAGGAATCTCAACAATTTTCCAATTTCCCAATTTTGTTGAACACAGGTTCTGATTAGACAGTTAGATTAAGGAGAAATTTCAGGAGTAAAAAATACCAGAGTATTCCAGAAATGGACTCAGGTTTTAAGCGCACACACTCAAAGTAAACATTTTCCAAAAAGTCCAACAATCTCAAAGAATAATGATGCTTACAGAAAAACTGTTTGTTTTTAAGAAGTAAAGTCAAGTTCCAATATTCCAGAAATGGACTAGAACCTCATTTAGTAGAAACTCACAACACTCAAGCAACAAAAAAGATTTGTTGAGAAGTTCTGCAAAATTCCGAATATTTGAATATTTGAGGTTCACAAAAAATGCCTGTTGGCTCTCAAAATTTGACTGACTTTGTTGCCCAGAATTCGGGGGGTTTTATGCAATTTCCCCCGCCCTTTTTGGCGGGATTTTCTCAACAGAAAAAATGCCCAGGTGCTGGGATTTTGTAGCTTGCACAAACACCATAGCAAGAGACATGGAAACCATGCTCTGCTACCAAATTTTTGTTAAGAATATGAACGGAATAAATAAAACTAGAAAGTTTGGTTGGGCTACAACCGCTGGGGTGTTTTCACCCTATTATAAAGTTGTTATACTTCAATTTCAAAATACAGTACTTTTGAGTGAAGCGCACAAGAGCTCAAAATGGAATGATTGCAAAAACAGTGAGTGTGAGACCAGGAAAATTATCCTTCAAAGATAAATGAAAGTTTTTAGAATATAACTGTTTGAGTTTTCTTGAAATTTGGGTATGATGCAAAACCTCAGAGGTTCAAGAATAGGTGTGATAACCGGAGTTTTTCCCAGATAAAGATGCGCAAGGACAAGTTTTTGGGAAATGCTGATTCTTGCTCTTGATAATTTAGCACGGCAAATTACAGTTTTGCCGTTTATTTTTGCAACACTTTAGTCAAATTTGCACATTTATATACCAGGGTGTCTGATGGGATGTATTCTCGGATATTGCTGTATTTAAAAGTTTGACTTATTTTTTCCCCCTCTTTCCCAGACAGGAAGTGGTGGCGTTTCATTGCGAATACTAAAGCCCGGCGATTCGGAACGGAATTGAGCCATCACGCGCTGGACGGAGTGATAGAGTCGGGTCCCGTTCCCGACGTGCTGGGTGGTTGGATGAAAATGCCTCCCGAGTGTGGGAACAATCGCGGTCCCACCCGCCGGTGTACCCAACGCATTCCGACAGCCATCAAATTCTCGCCGGATTTAGCCCGTCGTCGGGTTAACCGGCACCAGCAATGAGAGGGAAACAAAAACGGCGATCAAAGCAATCGCCGCCTCAGAACTGCATTCCCGGCATTTATTTTATTTCGTGTGTGTGTTTGTGTGTGAGAGAGAGAGAGGACCTGGATTTTTATTCTTTTTTTGGCGATTGCAGTCGTGAGCGGGAACTGTACACGGATGTTGAATTTTGTGCGAGAACTGTTTTCTTGGCTTTTCTTCGGAAGAGTGAGCCGACGCCGAAAATATTTATTCTTCGGAATTATCATCGAAAGCGTTCCTCGATAAGTTCCGTCGTCAATAAGAGGGTGAGTGGAAATTTTTCATCAAACGCTCAATTTCCTTCCTCAGTTCTTTATTTTTGCGTGCTGAATGATATCTACGAGCTAGTACAGTATCCCTTGAAAATTTTGCGAGGCATTGATGTAGAATGAAGCTGACAATTTTGCTCGTCGAAAGATGAAGTACAGTAGTGGAGTATCACAGTAGTGAAATGAAGTAGGGTTGTATTAATGCAGGTACATTAGTCGCATTCGTTTAATCTTCGGTAAACTTTTCTGAAATTCACGTACGAATCGGATTTACCCCTTATACAGAATATAAAAGCTTGTACCTCATCATCGCATCTTCAGCATTGTAAGTAACTCACTCAAGTAAAATGCATTTTGAAACAAAATTTTCGAAATATTCGCGATTGAAACCCTTTTCTTTTATTCGTTGATCCTTTTCATGATTTATGTCAGATTCATCAGCGGTTGTCTTATTAATGGCCAGGAATATGAAGAACAAAAATGTCATTACATGAGTGAATCAATTTACGGAAAACGACCGTTTGATGAGCATTTCTGTACTATCATGGTACGGGATTAAACACCAGGCGTTTGACTGACGTTAGCGATAGTATTTTACATAGGATCTGCCTTGAGTCTTGAATGAACCATGCTTTACTGCATGGAAATTAAGTTTGGGTAAGTTAATTAGTGCTTGCGCTCATAATTGCAACAGATTTGCAAATTTGATTGCTAGTGCCTTTTTTTAAATAAAGAAATAAACTCCAATGAAACAGCTATATAGGGAAATGTCTTCGAAAAATTAGAAAGGTAGGCTTGAAGAAAGGTTTCTCAGGATGAAAAAATTAAAATAAATTATTCCACCATGCAAAAATTTGTCTTAAGTGTTAGTTGAGAGAAAAGACCACTTTTATTTTTTCATCCGATAACTTGAACTCTGCGATTGCCTTCGCAAATTTTGGATAAAGATAACAGACTTCATTGGTACTTCTGATAAATTCATTGTGCTGCTGAAAATTTCCCGTGGCACTGGTTCCTGGACCACGGGTTGGGGAACACTGATGTAGGTTATGCAGGTGGACTCTAGAAAAAACCTCAAGGGACAAGAAAAAAAAAATCGTTGTAGAGATAATTTTGTTATAGGGAAGACGTATAACATGGGTAGATAACCACATTGGACCAATGAAAAAATTGTTACAAAGAGAAATTCGTTGTAGAGAGAGTTCATCTTGGGCTTGAAGCATTGTTCATTTGTGCTTACTTTATCGCTGATTTCCGGTGCGATCCTAAAAAATACAGTAATCTTACGATTATTTCTGCTTGAATGTGCAAAATCACTTTCCCCATCGCCGTAAGCATTCCATCGTGAATGCAAGTGTGCTGGGTGAATCGGTTATGCTGGCAATTCAGAGCCAACNGATTGCCAAATTTGGTTCATAAGGTTTTTCAGTGTCTTGTTAGGAACCTTGCTTTTTAACCTGAGTATTTGAGTTAGAACTAAAATCACTCAACTTTGGATTGTTGAAGACTCATAGCAAGCATATATTCCACTGCTCAGGATTTTCATTCAATGACATATCTGATTTGAGAGTTTATGAATCATTCATGGACCACTAAAGATGTTATGTAAAATTTTTACATCATCACTAACACAAGCAATGTTAAGATATTCTTTCTTGAAGCAGTTTCTGACACTTGTCACTAAAAACCTGAGATTAAAATCATTGAAAATATTTCTAGGCTACTCCTGATGAACTGTCTGTTAATGCATGAAACCTAAAACTGTGACAAATGCAAGAAATTAATTCTCATGAGGTCCACTTTCAAATATCCATGTGTAAGGTTTTATGTCAAGAATGAGTTTTATCAAGCCTTACACCTTGAAATTGTTGTTTGATTTACAGCAGAGTTTCAGGAGACAAGAATTTTGATTAGAAAAATCAAACACGGCAATTGGCCGGGCGCGAACCGACCGGGATTTCTCCCACTAGCGCTGACCTTTCTTTTCCAGTAAAAAATGGTACAAGGAGAATTATACACAAGACAAAACAGAGCAAAACATAAAAGGTTTCACACACACACACTCAGTTCCCGGTTCTCACACACACAAGTTCTTTGGTGCAATAGTTCCAAAAGTGGAGGCAAATAAAGCTTTCAACAATTCTCCGCAGGTATTTTGTATACCAAATTTTTGGTGTGACGGTTCCAAAGATGGAGAAAAATAAAAGTTCACAGGATAAATTTTTGTACACAGTTCTTCTCGAAATCACAAGATTCTTTTGAATGCAGAGATTTGCAGCAGTTAGATAAAAGATGAGGTGCAAAATTGCACTCACAATTAGTTTTAGTCAAAGAGAAGTCTTTAAAGAGGAGAAAGGTGTTCCAGAGTTGGAATTCTCCCTTATTTTGCAGCACTCAGCACAAAATATATACCAAATAAATGCCAAATTCTCGTAAAGTCCGCAAAGTTCTTAAATATTTCAACAAGTCTATAGATTTCCGAATTTTGTATGCAAAAATTGCCTGGTGACTCTCAGGATTTGACTTCAATTATGAGGAATACAGTTGAATTTAAATATTCCAGAAGTGGACCAGAACCACAAGGAATCTCAACAATTTTCCAATTTCCCAATTTTGTTGAACACAGGTTCTGATTAGAATGTTAGATTAAGGAGAAATTTCAGGAGTAAAAAATACCAGAGTATTCCAGAAATGGACTCAGGTTTTAAGCGCACACACTCAAAGTAAACGTTTTCCAAAAAGTCCAACAATCTCAAAGAATAATGATGCTTACAGAAAAATTGTTTGTTTTTAAGAAGTAAAGTCAAGTTCCAATAATCCAGAAATGGACTAGAACCTTATTTAGTAGAAACTCACAACACTCAAGCAACAAAAAAGATTTGTTGAGAAGTTCTGCAAAATTCCGATTATTTGAATATTTGAGGTTCACAAAAAATGCCTGTTGGCTCTCGAAATTTGACTGACTTTGTTGCCCAGAATTCGGGGGATTTTATGCAATTTCCCCCGCCCTTTTTGGCGGGATTTTCTCAACAGAAAAAATGCCCAGGTGCTGGGATTTTGTAGCTTGCACAAACACCATCAAAATTCCGAATATTTGAATATTTGAGGTTCACAAAAAATGCCTGTTGGCTCTCGAAATTTGACTGACTTTGTTGCCCAGAATTCGGGGGGTTTTATGCAATTTCCCCCGCCCTTTTTGGCGGGATTTTCTCAACAGAAAAAATGCCCAGGTGCTGGGATTTTGTAGCTTGCACAAACACCAGATGTTGGCAGCTGTCAACAGATTTTAGAATTGCTCTTGCTGTTTTTCGAACCTTTTCAAACATGTTTTCTGCTGGTGACTGGGTGCTATTTTATTAGTTTAGTCAGGGATTTTTTGGCGCCAAGTATTGCCCCCAGAAGATCGGTTTTCTGGGGGGAGTCGTGGATTTTGGACAGCTCGAAATTGGGAGACAAATTGCTTTTTCCCAAAAGACCATATGTTTCTGTCAATTTAGTCAGCAGCTGGGTGTGTTTTTGCCCCGCTAAATTACCCTGGTTCAGACAAGAAAATTGTCCTTCATAAAGAGCATGCCGATTTTTACAGTCATTCAGAATCGCGGTATTTCGAGCCCTCGAATTTTCTGGAATATCCGCGAATCCTCGCGTCTTCTACGGTTTCGTTGCGCTTCAGGTACTAACAGTATAACGGAAGCGCTTTCACGCGGTTCTGAACGCTTTTTGTTGGTTAATTTGCAAGTTCTCGTTGAATTATTTTAGTCACGTGCTGTACACGTTTAGAACGACGAGTTTATTCAACTTTGGCTTTCCACTGCTTCCTGAATTCTATCAGCACGTGTTGCGATTTATGCATCTCACGGTTCCTGGTTTGCGAAACCAGCGTGATTTTTCCGCCGCAAGATTGTTTCAGCAAGGCTAATAATGTGTTGCATTCATTTTCGGGAATGTGCAGAAATGGTAATTCATTCTATTTTCTGGTTATTGTTCGAGGAATATTTGGAATTACTGTAGTTCGGGTTAACGTGCATTTTTCGCGTCACACCGATTATTTCGAGCATTTTCAGCGATGCATAGATGACTTGGCTTACTTTTGAAATTTTGTTCTTTGAGAACAAGAGAATTTTATCAACTTGCAGCATCGTTGAAAATATTGGTCAAGTTAAATCAGGAGCCAAACGTGTTCCCTTTGAAAAGTCATGCTCCATATGAAGCGGTTTTGAGGATTCCGATTTGGAAATTTGGGAGTCCAAAAAACTTCATTTCACGAAATTGAAGGAGAAACTTCTGAAACGTCCCGTGGCGTTAATTTATGGGTTAACGTCCTTTGGCGTCACGATTTTGCTTCGTCCTCAGAAGATGAGCATTAATTTTAGCATTGGATCAACGCGATTTTTAATCCCTTGGACTAGATTAAAATAGTGGCCATGAATCAAGCCCGGGGCCATTTTCGGAGGAAGCAGGAAATGAATCTGTCCGAGCGAATAGGAACTCTGTAAACGACCATGTCAGACGACTTCTTTAACCAGGCAGTCCAACTCTTTACACAGAAAAGTTTTACCCTTAGCCCTTCCTCGCTTTTCGACTACGTAAAATCTGGAGCAATAATCCCCTTAGGCCCCTTAAATCCGCGTTTGGAGATTGAAACGTTCCGGAATCTGACGTGCGGAACGTGTCGCTGCAGTCGCCCCGCGGCTGAGGCGAATCACAATTTTTCTTCTTTTTTTTTCCAGGCGATGCACAAATTATTTCATTTCATTTATCCTCTGATGCTGACAGAAATAAACACCCTAAGAATATCCTAATTCGGTAACCTTTGCTCTAGCTGTTATTATTTAGTGCATGCATTTTTCCTTGTTGTGATCAGTCCGTGTCGTGATATTTTTTTCTGGCAGACGTTAATTCCTGCTGGACAAAGGCGGCCTGACGTGGCATATTAGCGAGAGTATTTTTATAAGCTTTTGTTTTGGAATCCATCGCTAAAATTTATAATCTGTATTTTTCCAATCAAGATTTACTATCATGGTTCCAAAATGAAGAGAAGCGTCCTAGATTTACATTTTTATTTTTTAAAAACGCTCTGCGGAGTGAAGTGTTCTTCCTGAGATGTGTTTTGAAATCCATCGCTGAATCTTTATTGCTGAAGTCAAGTTTATCATAGGAATTGGAGCTGCCACGGTTTCAAAAAGTAAAAGAAACGCGTTAAATTGACGTTTTTATTTAAAAAAAAAAAACGGTCTATGGGGAATAAACGAAGTATTTTGTCAATTTTTCATGTTCAAAATTATACACGCTGTATTGCTGAATTTAATGTAAGGTTGCTGAATTTTTCGTGCCTCCAATTACTCCTGAGATTTTTGTTACGCCTTGAATTCTGAAAAGAGATTTTAAAAATTTGAATCTTATCGAACTCGACTTCGGAAGGCTTTTTGTTATTGGAGTAGGCTTCCAATTTTTATTTTACCAAGCTTACGTCATGATGAATTATTTCTTTAGATGGAAAGAATGATAGTTCACATTTGTTAGTTTGTGTTTCCACTGGAATCTTGTGTGAATTTCGAGGAGACGTGCGTTTGCGCGTGCGAGAATATTCGTCGGAAGGTCACGAATCCTCTGGCCTTGGTTGAAAACTCCAAGGCAAAAAAAAAAAGAGAAAAGTTCAACGTTCTCTCGGGAATTCTCAGCGACAAAATGGGACTTCTTCATTTTTGTGTTAAGAATCCCTCGAAGAAATCGTAGCTTATTTGAATGCGAAATCGGAGTATACTTGTACCCAGTGATACCCTATAATCGTGAGACAAAGCTGAGCCAATTTTTCGCACCTACTACGGCGAAAGTACTATTGTTTCTTTCCCGGCGCCGCGGAGAATTGCACGGGGTTTCGCATACCTGTGCGACACGAGCTGAAGAAAATTTCCGAAGACTGCTTTTGTTGAAGAGGTTCAGTTTGTTTTTTTTCTTCCGATGACGGAAATCGGCGAAGAAATTTTTACGGAAGCAGAATTATCGCTTCAGCGAGTCGCAAAGAATGGATGTCTTCGAGCATCGCTGGAAATGGCGAAATTGATTTTATTTTACCTGCAAAGTGTCTAACTGACTTTCCATTCGATAAATAGCTGTTATGTGATTTCAATCTGATTTTAAAGATTATTTTTGCGTACATTTCTCGCATTGCCGGGAAATTATTCTTATTGATTCTACTTGATTTTGCTCATTAAACTGAATCGGTTGGAATTGCAAACGACATTTCCCCCGAAAGTTAGCCTTTACCGTTTTTTAAACGTAAAATTTTTGTCAAAAATGAACGGCAAGTGAAGAAGTATTTGCGAGGACGAAGCATCAAATGGGCTTTTCTTACAGAGTAATAATATGAGAAAAGCAAAATTCGGCGAAAAACACTGTTTTCATTTTGTCCCTGCGCTCTGAAGTATTTTTCTTCCTTCTGTGCTGCTTGTCAATTACAGCGTGTCATTGCTAAATTACTGTTGATATCCTGACGAAAATTTTGAATTATTGGTGAATTACTTCTTCAAACATTGCAAGGCTTCCTTTAATTCACGATTGATTCAGGAAATGACTCGCTTCAACCTGTAATATTTGAGCATATTTGCTCGTCGTAATTGCGAGGCCGAATTTTCGAAGCATACAATCTCATCATATATCCTCTTATCCTCCATAGATGGATCATCATCAAGCCTGTCGAACCATCATCATTAAAGTTGATGTTTGCGAGAGATCAAGAAGGGAACTTGTTGCTGCTCGCCTCTATTTTATCAGAGAAAGCTACGGATAAATGATTTGGTTTTCTGTCATTTGATTCTCGCATTCACTTTTGGCATTTGCGATGCATAAACGGTTTTCGGGGACTTTTTGACCATCTTGTCGGGGGCAAAGAAGGGAAGAAAAATAGGATAAAAGTGGACGCATGGAAATAAGAATAAGAATGAAAAGATGGAAGGAACTGGATATGCGAGGGCGTTCCTAAAATTCTTTCGATTTATAATCAAATCGTTACAGCATTCTAATGAAGCGCAGATTGTACCACATCGGCTCTTCATCATCTGCGTCGACGACTGGCCTTCCAGATTATGTTTTATAATATTACCTAGATTTATTTTTCTCCCCAGCAAACCAAGAAAAAAAAAATAAGGATTTGAGAATTTGCGATTCTTCGGTGGTCTACTTTTTGAAAGACCCCCGGCTTTTCGTAAAGTGAGGGAATCGCAGAGGAGATGGATGGTGAAGGGAACCTTCGACCTCTCGGGCTTGAATGGGCATAAGTTGCGCGGATTTGCCGGCTGTCGCTTTCTTCCTTTAATCTCCGCTCGGGTCGTCGCTGTCACGCGCGAGCATCGCCGCTCTTTTTCCCTCGTACACTCGCCTTGAATCGGATGAAGAACCCAGTCCATTGTAAGGAGACCTGGATTATAAAAATATGAAACGATGAACGTGTAAGGGGAAGATGAAAGAAAAAATGTGCTCCTGCCTGTTGCTTTCATTCTTTTTTTTATGCGAACGGCTAATTTTTTTTTCATGCGGCGTTTGCGAGTTGACTGCGCAGGAGAATAATATTCAAACCGTTTGCTGTCAGCTTGGGGGATTATAGAAAAAAAAGTAAAGGTATACAGCGATCCGCATGAAGTCGAATGCACAAATTCTCTTGACTATTTTTTGCCTATTTTTTAAATGGAAATTTCTGAAATTTATGGCCGACTTTATATCCGAGTCTGTCGCGATCCAGTTGGAGTGCGCGACACTGCTGCGTATTCGTTAATTTTGCATCTGCGCAACGGAACGTGAGAGAGAAAAAAAAAACGCAGAATATTTGCATTAATTTTATCACACTTTCACTCCATTTTTTTCTTCGTTTCCATGCTCTAAATTTGATTCAAAATTTACGTGCCCCATTCAACCCTTGTTGAATGAATAATTATTCAGAAGTAAGTTCAGTTTTAAGTCGTCATTTTCTGAAGATTGTTGCACTTTGTGAGCCTGCGTACATAGAAATACAGTATGTAACAACGGAGGAAGGGAAGTGCCCTTAAATCACTGAAGTTTTTTTTTTTTACCTACGACGCACGTTTTATAAATTCCCAGGCAGCGTTGTTAAAGCTGAAAAATATGATTCAAGATACGATTTAATTAATAATAGTTACGTGGTTCAGACTTTTGCGCCAAGCCCACTCTTCCAAAAACTAGAGGGCCACGCCCAAAACTACCGAAACGATTTTGACACTTAGCTAATTCTTCTTCAGCTAGTTAAAAAATTTTATGAAGAGAAAAATTAGGCATGAAAAGATTGCTTTGGTTTCGTAATTGTCCTTTCGCAGCTTTATGCTAATCCTCTCTGAAAGAAAACGCGTTAACTGTGACGGGGAATTGTTCGTTGATTTGTACTGTAATCTGAAGATATAGTATTTGTCTGATAATCCTCACATAAGTCATTTTACTTATAAAAAAAAAACTTCAGCACGAAGCACTGTACCATTTTTAATCAGCAAAGACGATCTGACGAAGAAAATTGCCGCTACTAGTTTAGCCGCAAATTTTTTTTCTTACAATGGCTCGTCTCTTCAACCTCGTCAAAGTAATATAAAATGCGTTCATCAGATCAGAATTCACATCAGGCATGATAGAAATCATCGTGAAAATGCCCCTTTATAAATGGTACTGGAGCTTGATGACATCTCTCGTCTTGACCCCATTCATGAGTGATTAAGCCCTAAAATTCGTACTTGATTAGGGGTTTATTGCCTTTACAAAGAGGAATGCGGAAATCGCAGTGTACAAGTTATCTTTCTTTCCTTCCCCCCAAAACCTGATCAACAAACCGAACAGATGCTCACAGGGTAATAGACCGTCGGGGAAAACATGCCCCTTAGTCCTGGGGCTTGTTGAAAACCTGATTTGGGCTCTTACAAATTGCGATTATATTCGAAAGAGCCGAAAAAATCACTATTCCATACAATATTTCGAAGAAAGAGCGTCAAAGTCTAGCAATTTTCAAACTATAGTTCCTGAAGAATTCATGTAATTGATGCAGAACTTCCGTCTGACGGACATTTTTTAGTGGTTAAAAATTTTTAAACCATGGAATCTTTTTCTCACAGAAGGCTATAAAAATGAACTACGTCATGAGTAAATGTCGTAAAGGATAAACATGACATAATTCTGAATTTAAAATGCCAAAAAGCTGAACTCGGCTCGAGTAAGAATCGTTACAATGAACATCTCATACCTCAAATTATGATCGCAAAATGTCATGAGTAAATGTCGTAAAGGATAAACATGACATAATTCTGAATTTAAAATGCCAAAAAGCTGAACTCGGTTCGAGTAAGAATCGTTACAATGAACATCTCATACCTCAAATTATGATCGCAAAAATTTTTTTTGGACTTGAATAATTCATGACTGAGACAGAGAGAAGAACTGTAATTTTAAAAGTACAATTTAAAGGGCTTTTTTCTACATTATTGCCTTTGAGATAAGTAGAATAACGATAGATTGCATTGCACTTCATAATCGTTTGGTGAAAAACGATAAAATACTATGCTATTGAGACTACCTGGGGATAGTTTCATATGTTTGGAATCCTCTGAAATTCGCACTGAAATGCTTCCTCAAACGAATTGCTGCATAATCTTTGTATGCAATTTTTTCCGAGCATAGAATTTACCAAAAATACCCAGATCAGAGGAAGTTTGCAATGATGTTCAGATTTTTCCACAACCATAGCGGATTTTGTGGTGAAATTTTGAACGCCAATATTCCTGATTATTATTTTTAATTTTTTTGCCGAAGCAGTTCTTCCTTTTTGTTTGGATTTCATGAACTTCTGGACAGGCCATGCCGAGAATTGTGGGAATAAGCTAGCTAGGGTACCCAAGCGTGAAAGCCAGCGGCCGCCCGTAAACTAAAAAGGGACGGGTGGAGCCTTAGCGCAACTGCCTACTCTTGCGGTTGCCGGCGATTACCTGCCCGAGCCTCTTTTTTTGCAAATGACACAGAACCTATACTTTTTTCGTGTGCCAGCCTCGGGGTAAAAAAATGCCTCTGTCCAAGCATTTTCCCCCCTGAAATCCCGCCTCTCCCTAAATCGCCTTAAAAAGAGAAAAATACAAGCACCTCCGGAGGAAGAGGAAGCCTCATTTGGTAATGCATGCACGCCCAGGTCGTTCGGCAAAAATGTTTCGTGGGCTATGGGACTCAAGAATTGGCAGATACTGCATTCGCATTGAACTTGGTCGTTGTTGATTTAAAGCAATGGCAATACGTGGTCGTACAGCATGAACCTGTTCGTTTTTCTGCCCGCAAAAGCACTTTCAAAATTTTGTCTTTGAACGATACTTCTAAAAATGGTTCGAAAGTGCTGACAAATGTAAACAATTTTGAATATACGTAGTTGCTGAATATGGGACTTATTTCTTCAGTATCAGTCTTGGATTAAACAACTCTTTTCTCACGAAATGACGTATAAAAGGCAATCTCCACATTTATAATTATTACCACGACAATGTCCATGAAAAGTTTTTCGGTTGAACCTGAATTAACAAGCATAATACCTTGTGAGAAACAAATAATTTTCATTTCAATTCTTAATATTTGTTAAANAATATCGATCGATCCCATGGGTTCGCACTTTCGGTCGCCGGCGGGCATTTGATTTTTCCCTGCCCACCTCGGAATCGCGTTGACGGATGAGAACGCCAACGGCCGCTAATGGACGGGCTCGGAGAAAAAAAAGCAAATGACACAGAACCTATACTTTTTTCGTGTGCCAGCCTCGGGGTAAAAAAATGCCTCTGTCCAAGCATTTTCCCCCCTGAAATCCCGCCTCTCCCTAAATCGCCTTAAAAAGGGAAAAATACAAGCACCTCCGGAGGAAGAGGAAGCCTCATTTGGTAATGCATGCACGCCCAGGTCGTTCGGCAAAAATGTTTCGTGGGGTATGGGACTCAAGAATTGGCAGATACTGCATTCGCATTGAACTTGGTCGTTGTTGATTTAAAGCAATGGCAATACGTGGTCGTACAGCATGAACCTGTTCGTTTTTCTGCCCGCAAAAACACTTTCAAAATTTTGTCTTTAAACGATACTTCTAAAAATGGTTCGAAAGTGCTGACAAATTTAAACAATTTTGAATATACGTAGCTGCTGAAGATGGGACTTATTTCTTCAGTATCAGTCTTGGATTAAACAACTCTTTTCTCACGAAATGACGCATAAAAGGCCATCTCCACATTTATAATTATTACCACGACAATGTCCATGAAAAGTTTTTCGGTTGAACCTGAATTAACAAGCATAATACCTTGTGAGAAACAAATAATTTTCATTTCAATTCTTAATATTTGTTAAAGAAACACGCAAAGTAAACAGTGTTTCCGCAGAGATTAAATTTCATAGACTTCTCCAGCAAAGTAATTATCGAGTCCAAAGAATTGCATAACATTTCATAGATTTCACATTTCATTTAGCTGTGATTTCTTCTCTTTTTGGGGTAAAAACAAAATTGCTGTAAGTTCTGCTGTTCGGGTGAGAGGTCAATAGATTTGAAGTCGTCTTTCTCTACTAAATGCCCATTTTCTGCGTTATCTAACGATTTGTTTTTATCGCTTCCCATTTCCGCCTACGTGTATAATCAAGCAAAGGAGTAAATTATCGAAACTAGTCATAATCGAGTTTCATTACCCAAATGGGCTTCGGCTTCTCGAAGCCAGCGTGATTCTCTTTCAGAACTTTGGACTTTAATCCTCAAATACGCATACCAATGGGTAAGCTGAAACAATTTTACAGCCATGCAATTCCAGTTGAGACTCGATTGGATAGCTTCAACATTTGAACACGGACGTGAAGTGCAGATCCACTTCTCTGCTGGAACCTTCGGCAGCCTCGGGGGTAAAAGGTATCTCCGGTGCAATAAACCTAAGCACTCACAAACACACTAAGCATTCACTATGATGCAGAAAAAAATTTAAAAAAAAGAAGAAAGAAACGTACACAGTCGGGGAAAAGAATGTCGAGGAGGGGCAGCTGTGATTTCCGCGTCAGCCAGAGGGAAAGGCAGTAAAAATGTCCGAAGACGCCGGTGGTTGTTGTACTGCGCCGAGGACAAGATAATAACAGCTATTACCTCGCCCTTCCGCCACATGAAAGCTCGGCCAGGAGTCGGTCGGATTAGTCGTCCTTTTTTTATTTTCTTCCGAAGAGAGAGAGGCGCCCACAAAGCGGACAGTCCGGGGGTCATTTATTGCCCTGTCTGCGGAATTCAGATGTTTCCCCGGCTTTTCGGGCCACCTGCGGTCAATTTGCTCTGCGGATTAATCCGCCAACTGTCAGCGACTGACGTTGATGATAGACCAGGGGGATCCCGGCAGTTGTTGTGTGTGTGTCGTTGCTTTCGGCGGCTTTTTGACGACTCATCTTCTTCTTTTTCTTCTTCCAGCAAAGGGTTGACGCGAAATTGCCGGCACTTCGTTTTATTTCGATCCTCCAATTAAAACGTCATCCTCATCTTGACCCTTTTTTTTTTTTACCTCATGTCGGTGAAGTACTGTGCATTTTTAATTTCATTAATGGGATAATTTATTTCTCGGCGTGGAAGTGCAATCAAAAAAAGCACGCAGGAGAAATCGATAATGATTTTGCGGAATTCGTGTGAGGTCTCGGGACGAGCTAACGTTTCAGAAACGTACCCCAAGCTTTAATTACCTGAATTTTCAAGCCGTGGAACTTGTAGAATGCATCAATTTTCGGATTAGACGTGCTCAAATCGAAGGGGAATAAGAAAAAAATGGAAACATATTTCTATCTAAGAAATGAATAAATTTTGAAATACAGAAATTTATGGATTGGATTCGTTCAAATCGAAGGTTCCCTCTGATTAAAATTTGAGCTTTTCAAGATTATTTGGGCTCAGTTTTTGAAACAATCAGTTTTACTGGCACCTTGCAGGGAATGACTGGAATATTTGATAATAAAATAGCCCTCACTGTATAAAATACTTATACATTAGTTGGAATCATTGCATTATATTCGAATGTTTCGCATGGAATCACTCTCAAGGAATAATGTTGATTGCTTTTCGATGCGAATTTTTTTTTTAAGATTTCTAATTCGAGCCGTCGTACTAAAATATCTCTTACATTTTTTATTCTTCAGGAAAATCCCCCGGAATACTTTCGCTTATCAAGTTTGCCAAACAAAGACAAAGCCAAGTGTCGGCCAATACACGTAAAAACGCAGAACTGCATAAATTATACGATAAAAGACAAACAATTTCACATGAAACACAAATTAAATAAGGAAATTTATTCTCAAGATATCCTTAATTGATAGAAAAAAACTCTCAAATTATGATGTATGCTGTATTTCCGAACTTGTCAGACCATCACGGGAAACCCAGTTCTACGTTAACGTCCACTCCTGTCTGTTTACAATTTCACAGAGAGTATAATGACATTCTGGAAGATAATTCACTTTTAATAAAAATAAAAACCACGAGCGGCATTTTTTTTTAGCTAGACGTCGTCCGATCTGAAGCTGCCCGCCGTCGTCCTGCGGAATGAATTGTGTTTATCATAACATCCATTCGCATACAGGCAAAGAATAATAATACAGTGAATAAAAAGACAAACAAAGAAAAGTAATGGAATGATCACGAAGCAGAAAGTAACAAATACACCAGGAAGAAGAAAAATATCATACTTGCGTTGACTGCATAACGGTGAACAACAGACGAGTCCTCGTGATCAACCTGTCAGACTGGGATTGCTTGTAATGCGGCTCGTCGGATATCGAGTTCGGGGATAATTCCAACAAAAAATTAACTTATTTTAATCGTCACTCATGGCTCTTTTTGCGATTGGCCAGCGAGAAGAAAAAGACCACTTTTGAAGTAGATTGGTGTCATCAGAAAATGCCGCGGAATAAAAAGGAAATACATTACTTCGGACGAATTAAAATGACGTTAGGCAAAAATGCAGCGGAACTGCTGCGAAGCGAATTCGGGTCGGAATACGGGTTCAGTTCAATTACTGTTGAAAATATTATGACAATTAAGGCCAGTTTATGAGACCAGGTTGAGGGCAATTAGCCGGAAAATTATATGTTCCGTATCTCTACAGTATTCTCAAGTCACTACCGATAAAATAAAATAGACTCCCTTGAACTCCGGTCATCAGGGAATATTACAGGGATAAATTAGATTGAAGCTTTATAGGCTTATAATGGTGCATTTAAAATTGAAGCTCCATTTTCTAATCGTATTCGACTTTATTCTACTGATAGATTTTATGTTTTGCGTACTTTTTCTGGCATTCATCGCGCGTCATTTTAATTTTCCGATTTTTTTTCGCTTCATAACAAATTGGCCACCAGGGTATCGCCTTCTTCAGTTTATGTCTGACATTTAATTCGCTGATTTTCACAAATGTATTCCTGTGTTTTAATGCTAGCCAAGCGTTTTGAAGCATTTGCCGGAATCCCACTAAGAAAATGTCCTTGAACCTATGTCACGTTCAAACAATAAGCATTCACGGAATTCGGACTTTATGAGAAGTTTCGCGTTGAGAGATACGTTGATACATTGGTAGAAAAAGTTGGAAATAATTGAATCAATCGTGAAATTCCATCCATTTTTCAAATAAGTAATAATGGTTGCTAGAGTTTTGAGAGACGACGCTTATAGTAGAAATTTCACATTTCCCGTTTTTTGGCTATAAAAAAAAATACAATTTTTATGATTTTAGCCGAACGGAGACAGGAATTCGGGAAGTGGGACTTCGTTAAATCGGCTTCTGAATGTTGCCCTGTGGCCTATAAATTGCTGAAATAATTCGGAAGTTGCACCACATTTCTGAGGAACTAAGGCAAATGCCGACAACTCGTTACTCATTTAAAATTAGTATATAGGCCACGCTTTAAAAAAAGCTTAAAATTAAATCGCGGCGAGAAATTTGAGAAGATGCCACAGTGCTTGAAAACGATGGCCTAAATGTAAGTTCTTATGAATCAAAATAAGTGATTAAAATGGGAAATTATGAGACGAGAATTCCTTCGCAATTAATAAGCTTCATCAGGCAATTTTTCTCGAAAATCTTTTTCACTATTTTTTAGATCAATTTTCAGTACTGCCTGGATTTTTGATCGGGTGCACTTGAATTTTGTGCCTTCGTATTTTTTTATCACATGCCTCAAACCATCAGTACTTTTAATGCGTTTATTAGTTGCATTTATCCTCCAAATTCCCCGCATTTCTGTGGCCTTCGGATAATTACTGACCGATACAGTATCAGGGTACACGTCGTAAAAGCAGTACCTTGTTTATCCTTGTAATTTTTTGTCTGTTAGAGTGAGACACTTTTTAATTACATTTATTTTTTCAAGAATATAGTAATAGGAAGCTATTTATTCAAACCACGCATCAGTTACCCACTTATTGCAGCTGAATTTCCAAGGAAACTTTTATTAAGAGATTATAATTCCAGCTCGTGCGCGGCACAATGGAAATTTCAATGGTGGCAAGCCTTTTGTCAATTGAGTTCTAGACGGGAATATTTGTTTATTTTTAATTATATTTCTTAGAAGCAGTCTCATTCTTTGTTTTCGACTTTCAACCTTCCATCCAGTATGAGTAGCACCTCGAAAATTGTAGTGTGTTTTTCGCGGAAAGGAATGCAGTTCAGCCATACTGGAGTATAATCATTCTCGTGATGGTATTTGGCTTAATATTACTCCAGTATGTTAATTCCTGTATTTATTTTTTGAATTTTTCCAGAATTTTCTAAAACCTCCTGATGTATACCCGAGAGGCCCTTTTTTGCAATCCTGGACAAGTGGATGGCATGCTTTTGAAGAACTGTGGCGCATTTGGAAACAGATCGATCAGACCCATTGCTTCATGATGGAGATTTGCGAAAAAATATGCGAGTCACGGTCGGAGTGATCTTCCCACGAGGCCGATGTACTGGAACATCCGATTCGGTACCAGAGGTGAGATCAACATTCAAGATCCATGATCAATTTGCATGCACGAGGGATGATTCATAAGTTTCGACATTATTCAAAATAAATAAACCGGGATTATTTTACAATTTAAAACAAGGTAAAAATAGCCTTATAAAAACTCATGAATCTGGATAAAATCGTGCAACTCAAGGCGAGGAAGTTTTTGAGTTTGTAAAGTCTGCGAATTTATGACGTGACGTCATATACAGTATTCTGTGATTGATTTGAAAATTACAACTCCTTGCCTCCAAAAACGTTTTTCTTCTTCAGATGATAAATATATAATTGCATCTTAATTCACTTGAAAAAACGGAAAAATTATTCGCGAAAAGAAACGAAGAACTTCTTTCACTCCTCAGAAAATGGAAATCAAACGTTTTGTCGTTTTAAAAGGATTTTTCCGTCCTGTTCACTAGAAATATCCTGGTATGCTCGTAATTGAGAGGCTAGAGCTCCTGAAATTCGGCTTGGGTTCTCGAAAAAAAGTCAAATGAAAAAAGCTTTTAATTGTATTTCAGATGAAAGAGCTTTCATTGTCAATTTATTTGCTTACAAAACATGGCGTCGTAAATCCGAAAAAATTCAATAAAGGCTTTTCAAAATTTCGCAATTTTTCTCCCATTGATTTACCAATTGTGATCCTGATTCATGAGTAGCATGCATAACAATTGACGCGATTCGTGGATGTTTTGGTGATCAGTCAATTCTGATGACATTTTTTATGTATTATCTACTCGTATTTACATTGGCAATGCTATTTCTTTTCTGTGGCCATCGGTACAAGAAAATAAGGAAAAGAAAAACTGGAACGAGTATTTCTCATGCCTTCTTCAAACCAAGCGGAGGAAATGTTTATTTTAACCTTTATTCATTCAAGGATGCATTGAAAAATACAGGGTTCTTTCCCCCCGATGGTTATGTTGGCAGTTTAAGTACAGAATATAGGTAGTAATGAAATAAAAATGTCGACCAGCATCGCCAGTGATGTCAAGTCTCGGAACTTGCGGATCAGTCCTCTCGTTCGCATTCTTTAACGACCCCCTTTCGCAGTACCGAAACTCGAGTTACGCCTCCCCGGATTTTGTTTTCCACAAATAAAGCCCGGAAGGGTTAGAGACCCGAGAGTTTAATGCCCGTGGGCGGCATGCAGTGAAACAAGTGCCAAACGGGTAAACACGACGAGCCCGGCATATATAGTCCTTTTCTTGTATCGCACCGTGTCAAAATATACCGACGGTTTCGAGTGACATGGTGTTTTACGCGAGCGTTGAACTGAAGCCTGTTTGGTGCTGGGTCACTACGCGTGCTTCGGAGTCGAATTACTGGAGCTCTACTTGGTTCTTATTTGATTCTTTTTCTCAGTTTTGTTAATTTTATTTTTTACGGTTTTATATATTGTACCTGTACTGCTTGCTGTACACGAATGTGATCGAATGCGTTGCTGCTGAACCACAGGGACCAACGAGTTACACGCACCAATAAAGATTTCCGATGTCTTTCTCGGGCTCGGGTGTCTCCGAGAAGTGAAGGATAAANATTTTATTTTTTACGGTTTTATATATTGTACCTGTACTGCTTGCTGTACACGAATGTGATCGAATGCGTTGCTGCTGAACCACAGGGACCAACGAGTTACACGCACCAATAAAGATTTCCGATGTCTTTCTCGGGCTCGGGTGTCTCCGAGAAGTGAAGGATAAAACGCGCCGAACTTTTCTTTTGCGTACTATACTCATGACATGAAAAAGGATAGACTCAATGCCAGAAAAATTTTGAATTTGTAAAGCCTCATTGCATTTATGCGAATGTACAACGTTGTATATGCATTCTAAGATGCTCTTGGACGTGACAGCTTTTCAATTCAAAAGACTGCGAGAAGGTCATTTTCTTCTTTGGAAATTTACGTGAAATTTCAGTGACCCTTGCCTCTCAATCACGATTATATCAGGATATTTTCACTGTAATGAGGCGAGACGGACAATTTTAAAATGGCATTATGTGTAATTTTCATTTCAGAATGAGTGAAATAACGTTGCGATCAAAATTACGGAAGCCGTTCCAATTGAAAAAAAAATCAGGCTCGATTTGCAGAAAAAAGCTGGAACTTTTGTTGGCCTCTGAGCTTTGAATTTTCAGTTTTTTAGGTTGATAGACCGTATTTTCAAATTATTCTCAGAGGACAAACGTTGTTAAAATGAGCAGTGTTAAAATTCATTTTCCGTGTGATTACTGGGGATCATTGATTTAAACGTCCAGACTAGCTGTTTTTTTTTTAAAGTTTCAAACTCAGAAACTCGAAACAAGTTCATGAACTTGAAATTCATGAACTTGTCCCTTTTTTATGCATTGAGGGATTTGGATGAAAACGGCAACCGAAAACGAATAATTGGCAGCGTGATTGAAACATAAGTGGGATGCACTTTTGATGCGTGGCTGTTCCAAGAAATGGTTTGCAAAAATAAAAGATTCGCAGATAATGACGCATTCACAAAGTACTGCGTCATAATCGGCATTGATCAGCATGAAAGGTGTGTCTTCGCATCAGTATTCAAACGAAGGATGTTATCAGGTAAATGTTCTTGAAAATAAATGACAGTCGTGCTTTACACGACTATAAAGATGTCACGCTGTTGATTATCCAATTTAAAGCATTCCCTGCTTTCAACGTAGCATTCGGAAACTTGACTCGTTTTTCTATAAATTCTCTGAGGACATTTTTAGAACGTAATGCTCACCTTCGTATAATTTTGAAATTAATTTTCCGTAATTCCCATGCACCAGTGAAGAAAGAAAACGCAAGTTAAGTAATCAATTGCAAATTTTTCCTTAAAAAAGCTCCACCTCGCTCCGAATCTTTTCAAGAAATTTGTCGAAAATTCGCGAAACGTTCTTCATTAAAAAATAGATAACCAAATTAAAGGCGTTCTTGCAGATTTCCAGTATTCCGGTGCACGGTTTCATATTTATATTTTGAGCGATAAGAAAAAATTGAGTGCCATTCTAATTTTTTTTTAGCACAGAAATGTCCAGTCACCGTTATCCGACCTACACGGCGAATATTTCTGCATGTATCAATCGTAAACCTGACTTTTTTCCCGAGATTTCGAGGTGAAATTTCCATTCCTACCCTTATTTTCTATCCTTTTTTCAGGATACTGTATTTTTAATATTCCTACAACTTGCTCCATGAATAATAAAATCCAGTATTATTCAGATGTGATTCAAGCCAGTTGTATTTCTTGGGTTCTACGTGGCATTCTCCAATGCTTTAAAATTTCCAGGCTTGTATTTTTAATATTCCTACAACTTGCTCCATGAATAATAAAATCCAGTATTATTCAGATGTGATTCAAGCCAGTTGTATTTCTTGGGTTCTACGTGGCATTCTCCAATGCTTTAAAATTTCCAGGCTCAAAAAATTAGATGCACAAAAAATTAATATGGAATATTACTCGAACGCAGTTTATTTAAGTACTGATGGAGCTGCAGCTCGGGTTAATTGAATCCTTTTTTACATAATTTGATTAAATCGAAATTTTCCGTGGTTTCCATATAAGTTTTAGAAGACCAAGCTCAATCTCTATCATTTAATGCGAAGTTTTTTTTTTAAATTTTTATGAAACAACAAAATTTAGTGTTTTTGTCCGTCGAGGTGAATTGTAAACTTAATCATTGCTTCAATCATGGTTTTTCTACCCCCACCGAAAACCTGACTTTTTGGTCCGCCTCAGTTATTTTGTATATGGTTCTCAAGAGCAAGTGGGGAAGATTTTGAAATGCTTAAACCGCCTACTCTAATTTTAAATTGATTGATGATGATTTTTAACAAATATGGATTTTGATCGGACATAGACTGCGCGGGAATCTTCGCATCGAAGGTTGCATGAATGTTCATGAAAAATATATAGAACAGAAATGTTCATCGTGTGGGGGAATTTAGATATTTTGAAATATCTGTATAAGAAATTTTAAATGTTCACATGTGCTTTACGTGCAAGTCTGAGAACTCAAGAAAAATACTCAATCCGTTATCTAATTACAAAACGATTGAAAATCCTTGTTCTGGACCGCAGCATTTTCACGTGGACATGACGAGTAAGCCGATTTTGTAACCGTTACTTCGCGCTATTATTTTCTATCGTAACTGTTGAGCTCTCCGTCTTGTTTTATTCCTCGAGATGAAATCCCTGGCAGGAAACTAAGAAATTTTACAAAAGCAAAAAGCATCAGATTATAGCGTTTCTCATTGTCCGTCGTTTTCGCGTCGCATTCATTCCAGTGCGACGCTGCGAATGCAAGAACCAAGGGCATGAATATTCCGTCTTCAGTCAAGCAATCCCTTGGGAAAATTCAGGATTTCGAAAGCCTTTTGCACTTCACCTCGAAGGGATCAACGTCGAGCGTTTCTGTTCTGGGTCAATTGAGCGACGAGCCCAACTGAGCGCAGGGCAAAACTGAGCAAAACTCAAATGCGCGTCAGCTCTATACGGGCGGACACTTCTACAGTTGCTGGGCAACCGCAAATTAAATTAAATTATAAAATATTGAATTCGGCAAAACTGGTAGAGGTTTCTCCCTCCTCAGAAATGATGTTTATTAAACATTTTAAGCAGAGTCAAATAAAATCAAGAATTCAAAAGAACAAACAATTATTTCACGCAACAGATTTGAATCACAAGTTCAGATCACATAAACGAAAATCAGAGATTTGTGCACAAATCAGTAAGTACAAGAAAGGAGAAGATTGCCTTTCAAGATTTCATGATAGACTGCTTATAAATTCAAAATGAAAAGAGCTTTTATTACTTTTTCTGAATTTTCTGGTCTGATGATCTAACCAGAAAATTCCAGAATATTCTTTCATATTCCCTGGTCTCTGATTGGCCAAAAGAAAGAAAATTGAAGTAATCAATGTGTGCATCATCAGGTGTCGCTTTT